CAAGGAGCCCGAACGTGTTCGTTACTTGCCACTCTATCGCGGAAGACTGCTTCCTGAAGCAGTTTGCCAATAAGCATTCTTTCATGGTGCCTCAAATAACCATTATTCCTCTTGACTGCATGCTAAATAACACCACATTATCGAAATTTACAGAGATCTATGACGACACTCATAACCATATTGCATTCCAGCCAGTGCAATCCCATGTGTTATTAAAACCCCCGCGTGGATTTCTAACGCTGAAGTAGAGGCAATCTTGAAACACTATGTGTTTTTCTAATCAATTATTCTGATCTGCCACTCCAGGAGGGCCCTATGGGTCCCGCTTAAATGCTTCAAGGTGTTTCAATATGTGAACGATGCCGAAAGCGGATGGATGCTTTGAGCGTCGACTTTATTATAGGATGGTTACGTGTGCATTAGCGGGCTCGACAAAAAAAGAAAAAATAAGTTCAGTTTGTAAATTGGCCTATAGTGTCTTGCCTATTCCAAATATGGTGATCGTGCCAGAAACAGGAAAAACTATTCGCAGCACAGTTCTGTGCCCCTCACGGCAGCATTGTCTTATTTTTGTCTCTGCTTTTTCCACTTTTTATTTTTCTTGTATATCTCTACTAGTGTGCCTCAAATGCTCCAATCGCCTTACTAATTTCCTTTGCGTTCCTGTCTGGCTTTCGGTTGTTTTCCCTAAAACCCGACATCTCATGTAGGCTTGTGTCTCAAAATACACTTGCGTTCGTATCTTTATTCTGCCAGAACATGCTGCGTCGTTTCGCTAGCTTCATCGCAGTATGTACGTACATACTTTTTCTTTGTACTGAATATCACTTTCACTGGTGTGTGGTGACGTGCCACAGGTCAATTTACACTTCGTTACCCAGGAACGACGAAAACACACTCGGGTAATTTTAACGCGTGGGCGTCAAGGAAAACCTGACATCGACAGCATTGACTCGACAAGTGCAAAGAATAAATATTAGCGTCCCAGCAGGAATCGAGCTCCAGGATTCTGCGTGGCAATCAAGCATTCTACCAAAGAGCCACGGCAGGGCTCGGAACCACTTGTAATGTTCGTGAAACGTCAATTGTGGTTGCAGTACTGAATATACAGTTTTATAAACATTACATATGTACTCTCGTGATGGAGCCGTCACGTCGGGTTAACATCACTTGTAGTTAGGTGCCATGCGCCGAAGTTTATTCATGTGGTAGTGTCTAGGGCTACCATCTTCGCGAGCACCAGCGCTTCATATCAACTCAGCTCTTCTAATGCTGCTAATACTCGTGTTCTTTTAGGCATTGCTGCACAAGTGGAAAGAACTGGTTATATAAACATCTTCAACCGTTCAACATATGTTTCTACGTGCAAGATATCTACATATAAATAGGGTCGTTTACCCGTTGCGGTTAATGATTGGTGCCACGGACCTTCGTGTGCCGGCAAAACTTTGCAGATCTGCAGTTTAGCATTGCTGGGTCATGCGCCCAATTGTAATAATTCTAATTGTAGGGTCAAAAATTGGGCAAACAAAAGAACTCATTGCAAACTCCAAATTTGTTTCATTTCGTTAACTGATGTTAAAATTTGTGTTTCCCCTCGACTTATATCAAAGAACCACGGATATCTTGGTGGAGGCAAGATATTTGATATGAACGCCAGGCTCAGCATTGCGCAGACAACAGTGCGAAGACAAAGAGGTACTGGTGATGACTGTATTTTGGATCAGAAGGCGCAGCATGAGATTTGCCGTTCTTTCTTATATTGACAGTTTCACGCACTTCCTAAAAAAGGTTGCATCAAGGTATGACATTCCTGTGGTTATTTATGCCAGAAACAAGTTATCCACTTTGTGTTCCAAAGTAGACATACAAGTCGCGAATCCACAAAATGCCCAGCAATATACATGCGATGCTAGTCATATTCATATTTATGCATCCTGTATTACCACTGTTGTCTACTCCATACTCTCGTCATGCGGTCGAGTGTAGGTGGGCCAAACAGATCGTGGTCTAAGTGTCAGACTTCGACAACATTTCATTTCTCTGAAAGACCACTCCGTCTTTCATCCAGCAGCCCACTCTAAGAAATGTGGCCGTGCTTCGCTCTTTGGTGGTACTTCCGGGTCGTTCCGGCATAAGAAAAAAAAGAGCGCGTGAATCTACTGAGGCTGCACTTATTTACAAGGAATCAGATTCATGCGTCAATGTTCCCTCCGTGGCCATTTATGATAAAGAGTTATCTTGGTTTTTGTATGATGGGTGTGCTATGCTTGATGTGGCCTACGTTTTCGTTTGTTTAGTCTCTCGTGCTTTTTTCTCCCCCCTTGGCCCCTTTTTGCTTTTTTATTCTGTTATTTATATGTTGACTCGTCTTTGCATGAAGTTTCCGTTGATAGTCAGCACTCGCCTTTCATTTTTTCTCCTTTCTTGTTTCCGTCAGCTTTTTGCGTTGTTATATACGTTATGCTTCCAGCTTTCGCTGTGACATGTGGTGCGCGTTCAGCGCAGACCTGACGGTTTCTCGCTATAGTTTCGGTCAATGTAGTTTCGGCATGAACACCTTCCTGCCGCGTACCTTTTTCCACAATGCCAACAAGTTCTACGAGTTTCTTCTTCTTGGCCATCTTTAGACCAAACGACCGAGCAACTGGGCTTGATTTATTTTACTTGTAATGACCCCACTTGCTGCGAATGACGATCACGCTAGACGGTTTTTCGTCAAACTCGTGCATTTGATTCACCTGTTGCGCAATTAGCTCCTTGTCTAGTGCCGCTTTGCATGACAGCTCGAGCGTAAGGTCGGCATGCGCAAAAACAGCCAGTTGCGTATCGCAAACCGGCGAATAGTCTGTCCCTTAGGGCATCAGTCATAAATGTGCCGAAACTTGTTGCGAGGTGATTCAGTGCGGTCAAATTTTGACACTTTCATTCTCTTGTTTCATTCGGCCATTGAAATTACAACGCTCTGCGATGACTGAATGGGCAAGGCTAAAATGAGCTATTAGAAGCTTTTTAATGTCTTCATAAGCATTATGAGTAAGCATACCAGGGACAATTATCTTCTTTAGTTCTGCGTAAACCTTCGTACCGACTGCGTTCAGAAACAACTTCTGTTTCTTGTCTGCTGGAGCATAATTTGTGTCTACGTAGTTCTCAAAGCACTCAAAATATGAGTATATGGTGCCACTTTTCGGGGTCAACTTTTACATACTGCAGAGCTTAGGACCAGGACTTGCTTGGGTCATTGTGAGCAAACTTCACTCATCTGTATAAATGAGTTCCTCGATGCGTGTTGTCCGTATTCTCGGTTCTTATACGCCAGCCTTTCCCAGCGCTAAAATCCATGCAAGGGCTCCGTTACGCCTTGTTTCATCAATACATGCTTTCGCTGCGTCCTCTAAGCCGTCCTTGATGAACTGGCTGCAAGGATCCCGTGTCGCCTTGCACCGTGGGTTCCAGGCGTCTTCCCCGCTCTAGCCCGCAGCTGACAGTAGCTTGCGGTTCCCATGACCATCGCCAGTTCTGTTCTAAGCAGTAGACAGACGCTTCAGGGGAAGCAACGCAGAAAGAAACTTTATTCCGGGCAGCAATGAGCTTCTGTAGATAACGCCACTCGTCGTGCAAACATACGTCATTGAAGGTCGTATCTTATCTGGATGCGCACCGGATACGGGACGATTAGGTTCTGCTCTAACACCTATTATTTTTTTGTCCCACGAACGTCCGAAAAGAGGTACCAACTTCTTTCCAAAATCGTACCGCTTTCAGACGAGGACTTGTTTTGCTGTTTCCTCTCACACAATATTTACTTGATAAAGCGTCAAAGGACGACTTCCCTTTTGTTTCTTCGCCTTATTTTTGACCATACTTCAATTCGGCATAAGTTGTATCAGCCCAATATTGAATCATCGTGTGTGTTTTATTTCTTCTTATTTTGGTGTTAGTTTTACTCGGTTCCTTTCTCATTTTTTATGTATACCTTATTCCCCTGTGTAAATGTTTGTGTGATTGAGTGTAGGATAATCAAAAATGAAATGAAGTAATTAATTTCACCCACGCTTCTCTTTAGGCCTTCTGGTGAGCCATTAGTTGTTATAGCATTGCGCATAAGAGATCGAATGAAAAAAAGTGGCACCTTGTGGTCACATCCTTCTTCTTCATGCCAGTTTTCTTCATTCACACCGTTTCGCGGTAGCTGCGGATGTTTTCTGAACCATTTATAAAGCCATCGAACTGTAAACACGGGGATTGGAAGAGAAGATAGCATGTCGTTTCCTCTTCAAAGTACCACGTATTTCAGAGCTACGTCTTCATTGAGTGCACTGAACTAGCTAGAACCAAAGCCTGCACGCTTTCCATGTAATTGCGTGGAAGCAATGAACTACTGAACGTTACTACTTAGTGGTAAAGCACGCAGCTACCACTCCTGCGTTATGGCTGTTCTGACTTCTCTACGACTTAAAAGGCCCCGACAGTGTCGAACTTTTCTAGGCCACCTAGCAGTGCGGCCAAAGCAAAACAAGTTGCCTTATGCTGTCTCCGAGCTATATATCAGTCACAATTATCCTAGTTAAGCCGCGCAAAGATCATTCCCATGTTTTGCCACATATATAGTCTGTCCTGCTACCTAAATATATAAAACCTGTGTGCACTTTTTGGAAGCTGTCAAGCGAGGGAACGGTCGTTGTTGGTATTTCACACAGAGAAGAGCAAATCAGTGCTTAACTTAACGTGGATCGGTATAGCTACTGGAAATCTCACGACAAACGAACACGTCTTTTTGGCAGGGTTCCGACCTTCACGAACTTTCCACCGTATGTTCAATGCAAAGTACTCTTCTGGCGTCAAACCCGTCCCGTTCAGATGTCACCGAGCTTAGCGAAATTGTTCCAGCAGACTAGCTTCTCTTTTTTTTTTTCAGCGGCATTAGGTTTTTCAAAGAAACCCCAACGAAAACCTAACTGACCCGTCATAAAAGAAACTCACGGTAAGCACGGACAAGCCATTCATGTCATTGTAATTCACCGAGTAACTTTCGAATCGCTCCTGTAATGTACATTGTTGTTATGTTGGTAATCACGATAGCCCTGATTCATGCTGATGAAAATCGTAAGACTTACTTTTTTCTTCTTTATGCTTACTGTATGTCAAAGTGTTTATCAGTGGCATGCCGCGCTATGGTAACCGTGTCCAAGAGCCTTGCCAAGATATTCTAATTAAAGTATGCCGCATATATCACAGTGCTCATTCAGAAAATAATGCACCGCCATCTGACAACACATTGTTCAGGGTAGGAGCTTAGAAGAATTGTAATTGTTTTGTAACTTAGGCAAAACAAGCAAATTGGTTGTCTTAAAGTGAATTGGTAGCGGCAAGAAAAATCATATGGTGGCAGGTTCGTGATGTCGACGAAGGCCTGGGTGACTCGTTTAATAATGAAGCTGTTTATTCGGTCTAACTTGTGGCCCGTAAACGGAAAGTAAGATCTCAGTGATACATTCAGGCACTGATAGCGGCGAACAGAGTGTCGGCCGTCGATCAACTGACCGGCGGCGAAGCGCGTTGACGTTTATACATGTGCCGTCGAATATTGCAGCCTTACCACTGGTTGTCGCACAAGCTCTCGAAAGACCTCGAGTGTTTATGTCTTGTGCGCAATCTTATAACAGAACGATCTACAATAACCACGAACCTTCTCGAACAATGAGGCACAGTTTGCGCTGAGCAATCCTCACAGGCCGTGTTGTCGAAATCCGAGTGAAACACGGAAGTAAACATAAGAAACGCGCGTGGCGAAACGTAAACAAATTGCACGCTTTCGAACAATATATTGAGTAATTGTGCACATGCACGAATCACGTTCTCCAATCAAGTACTCAGTGAAGTGGAGGCGGCGATTGTTTTGAGTATCATCTGGAAAAAGCCAGTAAGTTGTTATGACTGCCTCCTAACGAGAGCTTTCCATACTACTTCTTTTTCCTGGGCAATCATGACCCTTCTCAGGCAACAAGGCGAAAATAGATACTAAAACGTGTGCTAGACAACTGCTCTAATTTTCGGTGCTATTCGTACAGGCCTAAGCGTTTTTAAAGGCTTCTACAACTAACCTAGTTAATTTCCTCCACCTCGACTAGCTTCAACACTACCTAAGGAGGGAAGATGTTTGAGGTTCGGAATGAGTCCCCTCGATTTCTCGAATGCACGGTGGCAGCGTGAAGGAAGAGCTGTAGTCCGGTGAATAGACGCTTTACTGCAGCCTCAGGCGTCTGCCCGGGTCGAAGCCCCAACCTATGCTCGCTTCTAATTCAAATTAAAACGTCCTCTTTTCAAACCTCGGTTGAATAAAGGGTCTCGGCAAAAGCCAATCACACGTGTGGGCTCGCATCGCCACAACCAATCGCAAAAACACTTTCATAACAGGCACTGTATTGGTGAATATCACGTTATGAAGTACAACACGAGAGGGGATAGGTTTTCCGCGTGTCACACTCTCTCTCATACCAGGCCGACCTCCATCGGTAGCAATTCTCACGCTCGAGCCCCGTCAGCTCTCTCATTAAATGTTGCTTCGTAGAAGCCTTCTTAAGAGCAGTGTGTAACGCGTTGGGCTCTGTGCGCTGACCAGGTGTGCACTCGAGTCATCGAGGTGACCCATTCCCAACTTCAAACATCTTCCCTCCTTAGCTAGTGTAGAAGCTAGTCGAGGAGGAAGAAATTAATTAACCTGGTTTTCCAACTCTTAAAAGCGAAGCCTATGGATCCCCCAATCTTTATCATGCATATTCCGGGCTTGTTTCTTTCTAAGCATCCGAAGCCCCAACAGAGGCACCCAGCTTGACTGGAAGCCTTCTACGCCTGTTGGGAGTTAGACCACTCTGGTCAGGCCCGGAACTGTTTGGGCCAGAGTGATTGCAAGCACCTCGCTTCTTCAATGGAATTAGTTTTTGCTATGACACTACTTGGCACTGTTTTGTGGTCACCGATGTTATGCATCCTAGCCTATTCATAGTTATTCGAAGGTGTCCATGAAGGCTATTTCCTTCTCTCCAGGTAGAAGCTCGTTGCAAGTCTCCTCCCGTTCAACGCTGTGGTGACTCATGTTCTTGTGTACCAATTTTGTTTTGATCGTTTCTAGGCAGTCGCATATCAGTTGTCCTCGATCCGTCTGTCTCGTCGCTTCTCAGTTGATGTTCTTCGAAGAAAGCTTCAAACAGCTCTTGCTTCATGTTTTCCCTATGACGTGCAAGCCGTTCGGCATCTGAGAAAAATGAAAGCGCCACAACTGCAGCACTTAATGGAAAAAAATGATTAATCATTGAAAGGGCAGCCTTCTTCGAATTCCTTCCTAAACTGTCTCGAACATTGTTTTTGTGCTGTCAAGTAGCTTAACAGATTTTTATTTTTTTCAGTACCTGTCAGCCAATCTTTCGCGTTTTCTAAAAATTTTGCTACGTATGAACACTAACCGATACAGCAATATTTTGGTTATTACAATTCTGCAAATCAAGCTGAAATCACTTGTCCGCAATTATAACTTCTGCTGAATAACAAGACGGCGGAAGATCGGGCCGCTCGTAAAATCTGCAATTCTCAAGAAGAGAAAAATATTGCACAGGCTTGGTCTTTCACTGAGATTTACACATTTACTGGAAATCAAGGCTGGGATAGTAAATACCTATGTTACAGAGCGGCAGAAAAGGTTGGTCAAAGAGCTTTGTTTCGGCGTTGTCCAGTGTGTGAGCTCTAGCTGCTCGTGTTTGCAAGCTCAAGACTTGGTCGTTCGGTTATGTTTACACTATCGCTGTTTCATACAGATTTGGAATCTACAATACTTTTTCTCAAATCTTCTTAGTGGTAATCGCTACTGGTCGTCAAATTCCTGTGTCTCGTTTACAACGCACCGTCACCTTCTGACCAGGTGTCGGGCTTGGCGACATTCTCGCTAAAGGAAAGAATGGATTCGACGAGTACGTCCTTCCTTCTACCAGCGGCGCATTCGCGAAGGCTGAGGTTACTCTCCTGCCATGGCAAAATATTTCGTTTCCAGTCGGGCCACATCTAAATACCACGCTGTATGGGTGGCCGACTACGGCCACTCATAAAACGTGGCAACTGACCATCACTCTCTGTGCTGTCCATTTTCATTAGGATAACCTTCCGGTCATGCTCAGTGGGCAGCAAAAGTTGACAACAGTTGACCAGGAGAGTGCAACATTAGAGTGCTCTAGCGTTCCGAACGAAAACACTCCGACGCTGATGCCTTGTCTCGCGGCCGGCTGCCTGGCGACACTAATTTCCAAAACGTACAGTCCTTCGACTCGTTCATCTTTGAGATACGCAAAGTTTTCGGGTAGAAATTCCCATGGATTCTTTCTGCGCTCCTTTATTTTCCCGACACTCATTAATGCTTTCTGCCGCCTTGCACTTACGTCGCTAAGCACACCACATTTTTTTTTCTTGATGTTACTCTCTGTGGCGATTAGTACCTCGCGAAGGGCCGCAAATGGTCACGCGAAGTGACTAGACATACACAATCGAAAATAATTTCAACGGTACATGATGACCCACAGTGCGTTCGAGCAAGAGTACTAAAAACGTTCTCGCAATTTTCTCCTCTGCTTCCATCTCAAGGCACTCTTTTGTGAAACCATAACATCGAAAATACCCTGAAAAGGTTTCGCAAATTTTGAACAAACGCATTGGTCTGGTATACCAAGACCTAAGGGTCATTTGCAGACTGATTTAGCCCCAGACAACACAAACACAACCTCAGGACGTCCTCAGTATGCCTCCGTGAGGACGATATGACGGCCTCAGAATGTCCTCTTATGGTACTAGAATGGCACTAATCCCGTCCCCTTGTCCATACCCATAACAACCTCAGCAAATCCGCAAAACAACACATCAGGACTTTTTCAGTATCTATTCAGAACAACAATAGCGTGACCGGTTCGGTACTTTGGGCAGTGATACTACTTAACATTTACTTCTTTTCATGATATTTTCATACATTTAAAAAAACACCTGCCAGGTCTCGAGTATATATACTGTATCAATCAACAGAAATGTGACAGTGCTGCACTATTACAAAAAAACAAAGCTTGTTGACTGAAATTTATTTAACAGTAATTATTCACAACTGACAGCTTTGTCAGGCGTTCGAGTCCACGTATAGTCTGAAAAAAGAAAAGCAGTATCAAGGCAGTCAACACAGCTCAATCAACTACGTTTATAATCTTCCTCGAAAGTTTGACACAATGTCATCACCACGTGCATCACGCCCATCGCACTCGCTAGTGTTAGAGGCTCCGCTCTGACAGTCTATCAGTACACTCGACAAGGGCGTTGTCTTGACTTGCCCGAAGTCAGGCCATCTGTCAGATGCAGAAGTCGATCCTTTCACGTTGGGACCAGGCTGTTTCGAAGCACAATTGATCGCGATTGGCTGGTGTTCCAGGCTGCTTCGAACCACACCTCGCCGCGGTCGGCTGGTGACTATGCATCCAGAATCAGTCTGAACGTTGAGCAGCCCAGTGCACCTATCAACACGGCAATTTACCTCCCACCATCACCTACGACTTCCACTCTCACACATATCTCACTTTTAACCATGCACACAAACAACAAAGGACACGAACTTTCACTAGTACACTGTACCTTCTCTGACAGGGCCGCCGCTGCCATTTTGACAGTCAGTTGACTTAGAATGGCTTGGCTACTTGACTGTCCAGAATGGTGCCGCAAAGTCAATGGTTGCCAGCTGCTAGTTTGTTATGGCGTGCTACAGCGGCTGTGACATTAAGGAACAGGCTGTGACATTAAGGAACAGGCTGTTTCAAATAGATATTTCGCAATACCAGGCTCGACACCTAAGACAATTGATTACGCGTGTCTCATTAGGCGGGACGCATAATTTGAAAATTTTCTGCCAAAAAATAAACAAACAAGGCGAAAATACACAATAACTTTATAACTGTATGAAACAAACGTGTGGAGAAAGTTTTCACGTATGAAATGCATCTACTTGGTGCGCAAAGGTCTTGAAGAATGATATGTGTGTGCTCAGTGCAATGCTTTTGTCATCCCCAAAAGGTCCTAGACAGGACCTT